TAGCTGAAGTTGCGTACCTTAGTTCGAATTAGGGGGGTAGTGTAGACCTGGCCCAAGTGTTTTGGATCCACTGCTTAGGTTTGAGGCTCTCTCGTAATTTTAATAAATTTCAATATCCCTTTCACTGCTCTCGCATTAAAATGATCATCATAAATGTTCTTCGGTCATCACGAATGTACTATGTTATCTGCCTTGCATCAGTATACTGCATTTTTCTTTAATTTTTTTATTGCATACTATGTTAAAAAAGAAAATAGGAGAAGCTAAACTATTTTTTTTAAAAGTTAATGGAGAATCAGGGGACTCAACTGCCCATTTTCTTTTTGCTTTGTGAGAATAATGTTCTCGGCAGTTCACCATCCTTCATTTATCTGGTTATGTGTATACATTGCATACTTCTTGGACCTATGCATGATATATACTGTCTGCTGAAGAATTTAGGCATCCTTAAGGACAGGGTATCAGCCTGGAATTTTAACTTTGATTTTCCTTGCCTAATTCTGTTAGCTGGATCCTTGATTTTACTTCAGTGTAAGGTCTTTGTGGTTCATTGTTAATTTTGTTCTCAGAATAATGTTTTCTTTACCCTAGGATGACTTTGTGAGTTTTGGATTGGGAGTTAGCTGGATCCCTTGTAGCCATGTTTCTTAGACTGATGTTTGTTGCTGTCGGAACACATCATTATCGCTCTCTACTCTAGAAGCACATTGGATTATACAGTCACCCATTTTTATTATAGTGTTATTGTTCAAAATACTTACACTTAATGGTCTACTTCGTTTTCATACTTACAACTTGACTCATAGTTGTGTGTACTGACTCAGCTGGGGGACACATATTTTTCCCCTTTAAAAACACTCGCTATTTGAATTACATAAAACTGCTTTGAGATACTTATATTTGTGCACGTAGAAGTCAAAAAATCAGTTTCTGCTTAAACAATAGAAATTTAGGAATATGTTTGTATCAACATATTAATACCCGGGAGAGATTTTCAGAGGCACAAATGGCAGGTGCCCAGTTCCCATTCATTTTCATTGGGAGTTGGGCACCTAACTCCATTTGTGCTTTTAAAAATTCCTCCATAATCATTATAGAACTCTAATCTCAGATCCAGGAACTATCTGTACATTGTCCTGTGCTCTCATTAGCACTTACACCTAATTCAACAAAGTGCTTAAGGGTGTTTTTAATTCCCATTGACTTGGGTAAGACTTAAGCACAGATTAAAATTAGTCTTGTATTTAAGTGCTTTGCTGAATAAAAATATGATTGATCATTCACATGGTTAAGTGCTTTTGTGTATCATAGCCCTAATAAATAATAATAATGTCTAATATCTTATTGTTCTGGGAAATACATAAATGGCTGATATGTCATCCTGAGGTTTAAAAATAGTTCTAATATGATGCCTGATGTTGAATAATTTTAAAAAATTATACCTGTTCTCCATATGTCAGAGTGATTACTGTGGGTATGTCTACATTGCAAAAAAACAAAACAAAACAAAAACAAACCCCAACCCATAAACCTGTGGCAGCAAGTCTCAGACTCCGGTCAACTGACTCAAGCTATGAGGCAAAAGTAGCAGTGTGGATGTTCCCGTTGAGGCTGAGACCCCCACACCTCTCACTAGGTTTCAGAGTCTGAGCGCCAGCCTCAACGGGAACATCCACACTGCTATTGTTAGTGCTGTAGCACGAGTCCAAGTCAGTTGACCAGAGCTCTGGGACTCGGTGCCACGGGGTTTTTGCAGTGTAGTCATACCCTGAGTTAACTGTCTCTGTTTATAAATATTGTCTAATTATTTGTTGGTCTATAATGTCTTCAGAGGTTCAGCAAATTAATTTTAAAGTTAACAATTATGTATTTACAAAATAAATTAGTACAATGTCAATTTATTTTGGCAATCATGTTTTTTTTTAAATAATTTTCTTTTTTAATGGAATTTAACATTCAAAGAAAACTCAGGTAAGACTACATTATGTGGGCCAGCATTCAAGCCTTAATGCAAAGGTTTTAGTTATATGCAACAATATGAATTAAGAGTCCATCAGTTTTTAGCCTTAGATCTGAATTTGCTAACTTTTGTCGTTTTAATTAGCTACACTATATGTCACTGACAAAGGGTCTATGTGATTTAATTCTAACACTTGTACTGTTTCATCGTGACTTCAAATCCTCATATTGAATTTGGAACTCTAGAAATAGAGGGTGAATGTGAAAAAATGGAATGGATTAGCATATGGAGTCACTGTGCCTTGTCAGTCCAAGCTATGACTTGAGTAATTTGAGCTAGCTTAGTAATGAAATACTCTAGCTTTTCCACATCATCACTGCAGTGTAATTGCTGCTGGTTGGATTTAATTTTAAATACCATGCACTTTTATTTGTTATATGTCATGCTGATGCCAAGTAATCACTATCCACATTAGAAGCCTCTAATGATGGCTGTTAGTTTTAATGCTGCAGTATTTGGGTAAAGCCAGGTAAACCCAAATATTTTTGTATCTTTGTTTTCCATGGGCTTTTGTTTTATTTAGATTGTTGCTTATGGTATTTTATTTATACTGTTTGGATCCAGGCAGCCATTAATTTAATGTCTGTACAGTGATACGAACATAAGAAGCTCTTCTTCCTCTTCCTCTTTTTTCCAAAATAAGTGAGAGAGATGGCCTCCTGCCTGATCTGTTAGTTTTTCTCTCTAAATTTATAAAAACCAGAAAGATGCCTATTTTGCTCAAAACCCCCCATTAGTTATTTAAATTATAATTGGTTATAGACAGAGAGAATCCAGCAGTAGTCCCACATGATACAACAAATACTAAATAAACCATACAGTGCAGAAAACAAAAATACTCCACCCTTCCTAAACATCAACTGCCAAGCAGCATCTCCCTCCCTAAAAGCTAGTGTAAAAAAGATGAGCCTTTCTTTTTGTCTCCTGAACATCAATAGATTCAGGCTGTCTCAAACAATGCAGAGGGTACATTCCAAAGGATAAGGGCCTTCTTATAGAATGCCCTGCTCCCAGAAGACTTCGTACACATCCAGAAAGTGAAATACCCAGGGGGGAAGAGATCCTGCATCATCATGGCTCCCTTTGCCATTAAAAATGCCATTGGAAAAACACAAACCTGAATACAATACTTGAAACCCACACAAATATTAGAAACTATAAATCTTAACATGGACAAACTGCTTTCCCGGCTTCTTGTTAATTGATGAGCATTCCTGGACCCGGTTAGCTGTGCTGTAAAGTGATGACTATTTTAAAAAAGAAATTCTGTACCAGGAACTAAGACACTACAAGTTAGCATGTTTACAAATTCAGTAAATAGGGACCTGTGACACCATTGTGGTGTGCATCTGGAATAAAGAATTGAAGCTGGTTTCATCATGAAATGGCAAATGGTGAGGTTAAGGTTGTATTTTGCCTGGGGAAAGAAGGCACTATAAAAAGATATGTTTTTCCTTCTCTTTCCTGCTTTTTAAATAATGTTGAACTGAACAGCTATTATCTTGTTAGCAACTGAAAGAAAAAATACTACAATGAGAAAAAATTGAGATGAAAAGAAAATACACTCCCAAACCTGGCCTTCGACATGACTTGCAAATATGTACCAATTAAAAAATAATATGAAAAACTCTAGGGCAAAATTGTCAGCTACTTCTACTAGAAAATGTTCTGATGCCATAGTAATGAATACAGTGTAAAAGCTGAGACGCACACAGTTTTTTTAGTTTTGAGTTGGCCACGTGCAAAACTTTTAAAAAGGAATGTACCATAGGGCTGACCATCTCTTGCCTTCAAAAAAAAAAACCTTTCTTCCATTTTTGTATGAGTATGTACATTATATGGACTTTGACTTGCTTTCATATGCTTGCTATGTAGCAAGCTGACAGAATCAAGAATGGACAACAATGACAAATGGAGACAAGGTGTAGAATCCCAAACACATTGTGAATCCCTTTCTGATTTATTGTATGTAACTTTCATAGCTGCGTGAAGGTTTGCACTTTGGCAGTGCTTGCATGGCAACTTATCATGCTATAAAAGTATTATTGGATTGAATATTGACTTACTAATGGTGATAAAGCATTCACATAAAGTATTACCATACAATGTATAATATCTCTTAATACAACTGAGAGCCCGTTCATTTAAAGCAATTAGGTGCCTCATTTTATTACATGGAATACTAGCTCTGCAGTTTGGTTTGACTGTCTTTTATAAGCTGATAGAAATATCTTATAATAGCGAATTTCCACACAACTATTGTTACCTGTTTTGCGTCCTGAAAACTAATAAATAGTGAACTGGCTCTGATCTAACTGGCCATATTATAACTGTAAATAAGAAGCATCTTTGTGGTTTAAATTTTTATGGATTACAGTGCTGTATTTATGTTACAGGAAGATCCACGGCTGAAATTTCCAGTGCATTTGAGATCAAAAGCTTCTTTGAACCCTAATGATTTGGGCCCTCTTCCTGTGAGTGTCAATTTGACATATTTTACTATATGCATAAAGACCTCTTTTGAGAATGAATGTATACTACTTTCCGCATATACTGTATGTGAATCTGTGTATTGTGTGTATAACATTGTGATCTGAGTAATGTGACAGGAATACACTTGCCAGAGCCTGCTAATAACATTTTTGAAGTGGTCAACCACTTATTAGCTTAGCTAAAAGTTCAAGGAATGCAGAAGCTTTCTCTGTGTCTTTATCATTGGCTGTGTGACATGAATGGTTGAAAGTTGTTGCTGTGAAAACTAAAACAGTATACAAGCTTGAATCAGTGGTGGTGGGGGGGGGTCTAAGGAAGGGCACATCCTGTAATCAAAGAACATTTCTAAATTAGTTCTGTCAGTTAGCTTGCAGATCTCTTTGCCTGTGTTGTTTTATTGGCATTCACAAATCTAACTTAATATTTTGTTATCTCTTGGAGAAGCAGTAGGTGGTGTGCAGTAGGGTTTAATTTAGATTTTGAATGACACTTCTACATTCCACATAGAAAAGCGCCACTGTGATGCAAATGCTGCTTGGGATTATATTAGTAACCAAAGTACACTGTTGCTTTGCTTCATAATCAAAGTAAATTATAGAGCCTTTCTATCTTGATCAAAAGCTTTGCTCTTAAAGGCAGAAAGTAATATCTGAATATTTTGGATTTCTTCGTGTGCTTCTGATTCAGTACCTGATGTCAGTAGTGCTCATTGGTCTTGTCTACACGGTGAGGAAGATACTAGTAACACTGGAAACATTAGTGTAGGCAGGCCACTGGTTCCACCAACACTCTCAGCATCTAATCCTGCTGGGAAGAAGTCTAACTGGCCCTGCCTTGACTACCAAAAAGATATTTTTGAAATCAAGTTAGGTAATTTGTTAGTTACCTTGATTTGAAATACCAATTAGCACCTAGTGTAGGCACAGTTTAACACCTTCACAATCATTTGTTAGCTGGTAACAACACAAGACTAAAGCAGTTTTAAAAGAAAAATACCTGTGCAGGAGGCTGTTTTATTGGCATTTTTCTCATATAAATTGGGCATGCAGTTATGTCCAGAGAGGCCTCGTTTCCATGCAGAGTTGCACTGGTTTAACTAAGGTGTGATTTTTATATTGATTCATTTTAAACAGAGCAAAAGGCTGTCTGGACATTCTTAAATCAATATAAACCTGGCTTATATCATTTAGTGCAAGTTGATCAGAAAAGGGTTTAAGGTAAACTGAAACAAGCCATTTTTCAACCAAATGAGTGTGTGTTTGCATAGGTTTTTGTACCAGTTTAACTAAACCCGTTTAAACTATTTTAATTTCAATCTGCTTTTAATCTTTGTGTTGTAGACAAGGCTGAAGATGATGATGTAGAAGGTACATCATGGAGTAGGTTTAGGGGTAGTACATGGAGTAGATAGTGGTTTTGAATGGTGCTTGGTGTACTAAAAGTCTTCTGCTTCTAATGGTGGGAGGATAGGAACATAAAGATCGTCATACTGGATCAGACACATGGAACTTCTAGTCCAGGGTCCTGTTTCTGACATTGGCCAGCACATTATGATTTAAAGAGAGGTTCAAGAAACCAGATATAAAGTAGCTATTGGGATAATCCGCCCCTTATGAAGATCTCCTCCTACCCTTTATACTTACCGATTGCCTTAAACCCTGAAGCAGGAGGTTTCACATCTCTTCCCAAACTTTTTAGTATTTACTGTTCTAACTCTGAGCACTCTTGTTATCCATATAAACATCCAATCCCTCTTTGAATCTTGCTAACTCCTTGGTCTTTGATGTTAGCCTTCTAACTTATTTTAAAAAAAGAACTAGTTTATGTAAACGTAGATGATGTATTTCTCTATGCCGTGTGCACCCTTAATACAGTAATGCTATTTTAATTAACATTCTTTTATCATTTTTTTTCCAGCCTGGTTGGGAGGAAAGAATCCATTTGGATGGAAGAACATTTTATATAGATCATAGTAAGTAAGCACCTAGGTACTTCTGCAAGTAGACAAAGGGAGGTAGTAAATATTGAAGTGAAAGCTTTATAATTTTACTCTTCATTTAGGAAGCCAGGTGTTGATATGTGGAGACA